TAAATCGCAAATTGGATTTTATTGTAGCATAATAAATAAGTAGATTAGGTCACGACAGCGATCCCAGATATCTATTTAAGCCTATAATTCATAGCGTTCCCCAATAAAAAATTTGAAAACTATTCTATACCTTGGAATGCTTTTTAAGCAGGGGTCTTGTAACTAACTAGGTTCCTCTGTATATTAAGTTTTTAATGTGTTTAAAATAAATTAGTAAGTAAACAAAAAGACAGAGACACTTACAGATCATTTGACCCACTTTAATAACAATTAGTTAGATTTCTTAATAAAGATAGCTTCTGTCGAAGAGTACCATATCTGATTTGTGTTGAGGGAATATGCTGTGTTCCTAATGTCCGCTTTATAATTCATTTTAGAGTTAGACAATTGTATTAAATATGTGAAGTTTTGTTCTTCTGTAGACATATATGATTGTATAATAAAATTTCCCACTGAACAGCATTCCAAGCTTCGCCAAAGGTTGTAGGTGGTTTTGAAGTTTTCTTTATACACGGTTACTTAATGGGTCAATAGCCCTAAGAGGATCCTCTAAAGATCGCCAGTATAACCTAATTTCATCTATGATTATATAACTGTTGCTAAATATATTTATACTAACATATTAGTAAAGTTCAATCCTGAATTTAAAAAGAGATAATTACAATTCGGTGGAACTATACTACTTTTGAATAGGTATATCCTGAAATATTGCCTCTAATATTATTAATTAATATTTATATATATATGTATATTATTAATATTATTATTATTATTAATATTATTATTATTATTATTAATATTATTATTATTATTATTATTATTATTATTATTATTATTATTATTATATTATTATTATTATTATTATTATTATTATTATTATTATTATTATTATTATTATTATTATTATTATTATTATTAATATTATTATTATAATTAATTTTATTATTATTATTAATATTCTTATTAATATTATTATAATTACTTCATGGGTTCTTTGTATTTAATATGCGATATGTCGTAAGGACTAGTTACAATAAATAGAGGTTGAATTAGTTGACATAGAAATATGCAACTACAAAATAGCCAAATAGCGATTAGTTGTGCCGTAACATAAACAAATTCAATTCGACTGATATAATACAATATTTCAATGTATATAGTCATTTGAAAACACAAAAACAAGGGAAAATTTTGAAAAAGCTGTAGGAGGTAGCTGCTTTTGGAACCTCATAATAGAATCATATAGTTTGCTCTTAATTCTCCACTAGATATTTTTAGCTTTTTAGCAAAAGTAACTAGCAAGTGTTGACACTTTTTGGATCAGAAAGTAAAAGTTGATATTTAGATTAAGTTTTGTGGAATTTTCTAGAGTTTACAAGGTTGACAAGAAACAAGTTTTGGAATTATCTGTTTTAAAAAATTATATATGCAATTTTGTCGATTTTATATTTATAGATTTGGATCTACTACTTTTAATTACTATGTGTTGTGCAGAATATGCGGAAAATCTTATAAAAAATCGAAATGAAGCATAGTAAAATACAATGTCTACGACTTTACCTATACTTTTAATTTAGTTAGTATCATATTTAAGATATGGTACTCTTAAAGTACAATGCTTTATATGTAAAGATTTTTGAATAATATATTGGATACAAAGTGTACGCAAAAAGATTGATCATGTGAGACAGAGAAGTTATTGATTAAAATTTTTTATCTTCATAAGTGTATTTAATAGTTTAAGAATCAGTATATATATGACTATATGAGTTATATATCATATTTATTATATTGTATGATAAGCTTAATTTTAAAGAAAACCTTAGTGCACCATAAGATTGTTAAACATGACTGTGACAATTGTTTTCTAAAAAAAATAAATTATTTTTCACAGTGTATTTAATTGCAATACTTCTTAATCCCACTTTTATTATAGAAGAGTTATATTTAATACGTCGACACCGGTAGGTACGTGAAGTCTTCAAATATTTAAGGGCTGTATAGTGGGTATATGGAAGTTTGATAGTAAGAAATAGTTGAAAGTAAAATATAGTAAAATAGTAAAAGTAATAGTAAAAGTTTATTTATATTTCAAAAATAAAAACTAAACGTTTTTGTTACAAGTGTGATTTTTTTTTAATATTAAAAATTTTAGCATTACTATCGTTAATTACTAGTCTAATAACATAAAAAGAAAAATACTTAAGGTCTATAGATAACATAATAATTTAACAGTTGTAATAGTTAGCATTTATTACATTTTCTTATTCATATAGAAGTACATAAGTACGTAAATAAAATATTAGAATATATTTTTTTAAACATTGTATATGTGTATATATGTTCGCCCCAATACAGGTTAGTAATGATAATAAGTATATTGTATATTGAATGTACATTTTTAAGTAAAAAAGATTTTTTTTTAATACTTGTTTATTTTTTGCGCTATATCTATAGAAAAAATTTCGAGTACCTTCTGGAAATTATGTTCCCTTTGCTTATCAAAATTGGGTTATGTTTTGAATATATATGTTCTAATATATAATTTTTGTTATAGATAGATTTAAGAGATGTGTTTTTATAAAATGAAATAAAGTTATTGTTTGAGATATATTTCTATATATAATGTATTTAAAAAATCTATATATATAAAAAAAAATTCGTTTAATAAGCTAAAGGAGTACAAAAAAATGTCTGCCACCTGAAAAGTACCGTATTGTGAAATAAAATTTTACGGCTCTATATATTTTAGAGTCCATAAAATCTTTCGTTAATGAAACATCAAAAAAAAAGTACTAACTTTTGATTACTGGTTTTTGATTACATTCTTTAAAATTAAAAAAAAAAATAACAAAAATAAAATTCTTTAAATTTATTGTTTCGTTTTAATCGTAACCCATTTCGCTTGGGTTTACGATTTTTCTCATTCATGAAGTATTGCACTTAATCGCTCCTCCACTGCTACTTTTCTAGACTTCCACACAAATTCACATACGGCAATCACACAAGCTACACCCATACCGCCCATTAGTACTACGAATACTCCACCCACATTCGCTAAACCCAATTCATTTGCCGCTGATGATGATTTAGAAGTTTCCACACGGCAATTACCACCTCCGCGTTTTTCCTTCCACCATCTAGTTTTCAGTATGTGCAGTTTACCTTCTTCTTGCAATTTTAGAATAACACCGTTAATAGCCGTACGATAAGGCGAATCTATATTAAAAAAATATAAGTGTATTATAATAAATATTTGCACAAATAATTTATTACAGTTCAAATTACTTGGTGGAGTGGCTATGCCATAGCTCTTTGTGTCCAACATGCCACCCACTTGAGTGAGCTCACAATTACGTTCTGTCACGTATTCAATAGATGTTGACTCCATTAAGAAAGCGTAAGTGCCTGATTATAGTGAAAAAAAAAAAAAAAATTTTACATAAAAAGTAATGACAGATATCAACATATACTATCTATGTATGCTATATATACATATATATTTATATTAAAATACCTTTGCCTTTTACTACACGATCTACACCTTCACCATTACTCGAGGTAAATACGGAAGGTCTTGCGGAGTCCATAAATGACCACATTCGTTGATATGTTGAGATTTTAGAATCCTATTAAAAATGATTTCTATTGTAAATGATCTGTTTCATAATTGTTATATTTAACATACCCTAAAGAAAGCGGCTGTGCTGCCACCTTTAAGTGCTCCGTACTTTATACGTGTCTGCTTCGCTAAATCTTCAGCACTTTCGATTGGAGAATCCATACGTTCCACAGTCAGAAATGCTGCCAAGTTAGCAGTGTATGAAGAAATCATAATTAATGTGAAAAACCACCACATGCCAGCTACCATACGTGTAGATAAAGCTCTACGGAATTAAATAAATATATTAATTAATTAACTAAATCACTATGTTAGTACTGTAGTCACACTAACTTTGGTAAGAAATCGCAACCTTGTTGCATCAGTGATCCAATAGCAAACCACATACAATTCAGTAGAGTAAATTGACTTTCCACTTTTTCACCATGTGCATCCGCATATGCTGGCCACTCATATGGCGTAAATCTTTAATTTATAATCATATATATTTCGTCTAATTATATATATATTACAGCTGTTAAACTACCTTGCCAAAATAAAAAGTAAAACTGATACACCCAAGTACGCTGTAGCCATATAAATCCAAACATCTAAAGATAATGGTGATAGGAATGAAAAAAGATTTGGTGGTTGTTTCACTGGTTTTCTATATAAAATCGAAACTCCTAAATTCATAAAAGGCATAGTGAAGTCTACTGCCTGCTCTCGTTCAAATGTAATGGTTAAGTCCGCTATTGCAAGATCTGCTCTTTGTTCCAGTAGTTCGCGTATCATACCGTTCCATTCACTGTGTAGAGAAAAACAATGTAATAAATTTGGAATATTATTAGATATATTTACAGACCCTGTTTGTTTGTTGAAACTGCCATAGCTACCGTCTGGTACCAACTGAATTTTATAGTTGAAACCTAGAGCAAGCGATATTTCATGTATAAGATCAACAGCGTATCCCTCAAATTGATCATTTCCAGTTAGTGGTACTGAGGATTCTTTACGCATACAATAAGGATTACTCTGTAAGAAACAATTTTAAAAAATGTTAATTTATTGTTTTTGGAAAGATAGCTGTTTCTATCTATTAGTAGTTGTTTTTAAAAAATTAAAAAAAGTGCAATATAAATGAATTATTCTTTTCCAACCATTTATCAAAAAACTTGTACATTTTATCAGTATAATTTATTAGTATATAATTGGGTTAGACTATATTATTCTAGCTGGTTGTAAACCACATATGGACTTTATAGGTTCAAAGCAATACCAATTGCAGGAAAGCCTCTTTATAGATTTGTAGTACTTATCATTTGTAGTATGATGACGACGCTTTATGCAAATATAAGGATGCTTAAAGTTTCATTCCAGAGATGTACTCCAGAGATGTACAACACAGATCATAAACATAAGTGGTATCACAAAATCTCAATTTTTCAGTATTTATCTATTTATCGACCAATTTATTACAATGAATTTTAGTGTATTTCGGTGTCGATACTTGGAATACTTTTTCTTTAATACTCATATTAGTTTATTTAACTACATTATATATTTGAATCTATTTAGTACTAATTTTTTTTTTGTATATATATAGAAGTGTTTACTCTAAAAGTTATGATCACATTTTTGACAGCCTATTACTTACTTACTTACTTAGTTGGCCATTACAGACGTGTGTCGTCCTTGGCCGCGTCGAGTAGCCTCCGCCAGTCAGCCCGATTAGTT